CTCCCTCTCCATCTTCTCCCCATGCCTCAGGGACCCATTCATTTGGTCTTCAGACACTTACTGGGCAGCCTGGTATAGTATGAACAGTACAGGCTACAGATTTTGATGGGGAATCCTCTGAGCTGTGTGATTCCAGGCAAATGACTTATTCTGTTTGATACTCAGTTTCTTCATCTGCAAACTGAGACACAATCTACCATGAAGAGTTTGTGGAGGTTAAATGAGATGATGTACATAAAGCACCTAGAAGGGCCTGGCCCAGAGCAGGCCCTCAGTACTCATTAGTCTTCCTTTCGTGGTTTCCCACCCGCCTTGCCAAACCTGAATTCTCCTCTCACCTGGCACGACAATGCACTGAAAGGACTCAGGAGGCAAGGGAAGGATATAATGACATGTTACAAAGCGACAAGCACAAAAACATACAGAGAAAGAGAAAAGAGAACTGGGAGAGAGATGTAATTGTTTTGAAGTTTTCAGGGCAGGTTTTATAGAGGTGGTAATATTTGGCTGGACCTTGGAAGATGAGTGTGGTTCCGAACGGGGATGACCCCAGGAAGCAGGAGGAGGGAATAGAGAAGTAGGACAGGGAAAGAAATAAAGCCAATAATGGTACCAGGTTACTACCATGGGCAATTGGGAATTCAACAATCTATAGGTGTGTAGAACACACCTCAGTGCTGTCACACCAAGAGACAAGGATGCTGGCATGAGTAAATACCAACTCCCATCCCTCACTGTTTGGAGGTGTTAACTCCCTGGCACTTCTGGTTTGTTCCATGCATAGACCAAACGTGGTCCCATGAGCACAGAGCACCCCCCACAGAGGATCACCCACAGGTGACCTCTGGGGTGGGCCAAGGGTATCTGGGCAGGGCAACAATAGCATCTGCTACAGGTGGCTTAGCATTTAACTAGACTAATACACATATTTGGCCAAAGGCCATATGTTAGAGGCCTATAGCACTGAACCACAGTTTAGGATTTAGGTACAGTTTGTATTGTTCTCATGTGTCATAGTGATGTCCCTCCAAGTGGAGTGTAAACTCCCCTGGAGTCAGAGATGATGTTCTCTCAGCAGCTAGTAATGCTGGGCACACAGCAGGCACTCATTACCGCACAACTGAATATCCTATGTAGAAATAGCAGGTCAGTCCCCTTGGCCTTCATCAAGGACCAGACCTAAGTCATCCTGACTGAAGAGAACCTATTTCATTCCAAAGCTGTTCACAGAGATGGTGCCTGTGAGCCATCTGGATGATCTGATCTGACATTTAGTAGTGCTCACAATTATGGATTCCACCATTACTTTTAATCTATAGATGCACAACCATCAAGCAACTGAGCCTAGCATAGCAGAGAGGTTAAGAATGCTGAAAGTCAGAAAAGTGTAGTGGTTAAACATACACTTTGGATCAGAAGGCCTGAATTTGAATTGCAGCTCTGCAACTCAAACGTTTAACCTAGGGCAAGTTGCTTACCTTCTCTGTGCCTCAGTTTCCTCATCTGTAAAATGGGGCTAATAATAGTGCCTACTTCAAAGGGCTATTGAGTGAGCTTCAAATGAGTTAGCCTTTTGTAAGGGCTTAGATGGTAAGTCTATCAAAGTGATTATTAAAAAACATGAAAACTCTTAATGGGAGTTCTGAAAGACAATAATGAAATCCTATTTAGCTTTTTCCAGATCTCAAAACACTATTCAGAAAGATCTTTGCATACAAAATGTTATATGTCAATTATATGTCAATAAAGCTAGAAAAAAAGGAAAAACCTTTGTCTTCACAGGTTTTAAAAATATATATATTGAGCCTTACAAGAGCCCCTTAAGGGAGCTCATGCTCATACCCATTTTGAAGAAGAGGAAATAGAGGCTCATACTGGTGTAGGGCACATCAAGACCATACACACAGCAGGTGGCAGGCATGGGGAGGGCTCTCACCCAAGATCTGGTCACCTTTCTACTCTTACCACGCTGCCAGCAGTAACGCTTTAGCCAATTCTTTAAGACAATGGTTCTACACTTGGGCATGCATCAGCCTGGCAGGCTGATTAACACAGACTGCTGGGTCCCCCCCTCAGAGTTTCTGATTCCACAGGTCTTGGGGGCCCTGAGAATCCATATGTCTAAAAAGCTCCTAGGTGATGCTGATGCTCCTTGTCTGGGGCCCACACTTGAGGACCACTGCTTTAAAAAATCAGTTCCTCAGAGAGCCGTATCAAGAAATACATGCCTTAAGCATCCCCTCTGGTTTTCCTTACTCAGGTTTATTTCAGAGCCATGCACTTTTCTGTTTACCTGCCCCATTTGCATCATTCTTAAATATACTTTTTCAAAAAAAGATTTATTTCTACCAAGGAACTTTCCTCTTGATGACTTTTTTTCTCCTCGTGTTCCACTTTCCTTCCTCATCTACAGCTGTGGTGGAAAAGCACTGAAACATGAGCCCAAAGATCTAGTATCTAGTCTGGCTCTGCCACTTCCTAACCAATAACATCTCTGAGGACATTTACTCATCAGTAAAGTAGGGACATTTGATTTATGCCCTGCCAATCCCACAGTGATGTTTTAATGCCCCAAGGTGATGATGTGTGAGCATTGTCTACATGAATGTCACGTGGCCACACAGAATCTGTATCCCATGACATGTATCTGGAGTTTCTCTCCCTACTTATGTTTTCTGCCCGTTGTGTAGGCCGTGGTTCTCAAAGGGTAGTCTGAACCAGTCACATCCAACATCACCTGGGAACTTGTTAGAAATGTCAGTTCTCAGGTCCCACCCCCAGCCTACAAAATCAAAAACTCGGGAAAGGACCCAGAAATTTGTGTTTTAACAAGCCCTCCAGGTCATTCTAACGCACGCTCAAGTTTGAGAACTCTGGTTTTGTGGTTACAAACACAAAATTCAGAGCAGGGTACAAATCCCAGATGGGTCACTTCCTGAGCAAGTTACTTATCTCTCTGAGCCCTAGTTTCTTGATCTAGAAAACAGGCTAAGACTAGAATCTCTCCCTTATAGATTTGGTTGAGAAGCTTAAGAGAGTGATTGTATGTAAAGAGCCCTGGGACCTGGCCATTATAGCAGTCAATACACAATTAGCTCTTACCATTTCTTTTTGTAAAGTATTGTGGCTTCTTGACATGTCCCACTGCCTACTTTTTGAAAGATTGTCAGTTGTTTTTTTAGCTTGTTAGGAAGTTTTCCATTTAGTTTGTAGCATGTATGTGTGTGTGTATGTATGTTTTCCATGTTTGTTTATGTGTTGTTGGCTGCTACTAGATATTTGCTTTATCCAACAAAGATTGATTGGTCCTGCCACTCTCTTCTGAATAAGAAAGGTATTTCTCTGTGCACCCTTAATAATGTCTTCCTAAACAACATTGCTAGTGAGGATTCTTGACATGTGCATAGCACTGTATTCTTTTGGCAGTTGTACCTACAGACACCGCAGCCCTGGGTTTTCTGACCTTCTTTACTGCCTTCCTCAAGTATTTTTTCTCCTTGTTTTATGAGCTTCTAAAGATACTCTCTTTTCTGAAAACTATGCTGTGTCATTCGCTGATTCTCCACCTCCCTTAAATTTTCATGCAGAAATGCCTCAAGAGAATACTTTTAAAACAAATAAACACCAGAAATAGACACTCACATATAAGGCCAATTGATTTTTATCAGTGCCAAGACCATGCAATGGGGAAAGGCCAGTTTTTTCAACAAATGGTGCTAGGAGCAACTGGATACCCACATGCTAAAGAATAAAGTGGGACCCTAACCTTATACCATATACAGAAATGAACTTAAAATGGATCGAAGGACCTACAAGTAAGAGCTAAAACTATAAAACTCTTAGCAGAAAACAGAGGGGAAAATCTTCTTGACATCGGATTTGGCAATGATTTATTGGATATGACAGCAAAAGCACAAGCAACAAAGTGAAAATAGATAGACTAGACTTCATCAAAATTAAAAACTTTTGTGCATCAAAGGACACTGTTAGAATGAAAAGGCAACCCACAGATAGGGAGAAAATATATGTAAACCATACATCTGATAAGAGATTAGCATCCAAAATATATAAAGACCTCCTAAAACTCAACCAAAAAAACCCCAATTCAAAAATGAGTCAAAGATTTGAAAAGACATTTCTCCAAGAAAGATGTACAAATGGCTAATAAGCACGTGAGAAGATGCTAAACATCACTAATCATTAAGGAAATGCAAACCAAAACCACAATAAGATACCATTTCAACCCATTGTCAAAATAATAGAAAATAACAAGTGTTCGTAAGGATATAGAGAAACTGGAATCCTTGCACCTTGCTGGTAGATATGTAAAGTGGTGCAGCCACTATAGGAAACAGTTTGATAAATTCTCAAAGAATTAAACATAGAATTACCACATGACTCAGCAATTGCACTCTAAGTATATATACCCAAAAAAATTGAAAGCAGGAACTCAGATACTTATATACCAATATTCACAGTAGCATTATTTACAAGAGCCAAAAGGTAGAAATAACCCAGAGATCCATCAGTGAATCAGTGATGAATGGATTAAAAAATGTGATATGTACATACAATGGAGAATGACTCAACCTTAAAAAGGAATGAAATTCTGATACATGCCACAACATGGATGAACCTCAGAAACATTATACTAAGTGAAATAAGCCAGACACAGAAGGACAAATATTATATGACTCCACTTACATGAAGTACCTACAATGGCAAATTCATGAAGACAGAAAGAAGAGAGGTTACCAGGGACTAGAGGGGTGGTGGAATGCAGTTACTGTTTAATGGATACACAGTTTCTATTTGACATGATGAAAATTCCCTGGAAATTCATTGAGGTGATGGTTGCACAAAACTGTGAACAGATTTAATGCCACTGAATGGTTAAAAGGGCACATTTTATGTTATGTTTTTACCAAAGTAAAAAAAATCCTATATAAACGCACAGACACAGATTAAAAAAAAAAAATGAAGGAAAACAGGTTCCTTACCTTCCAGGGATGTAACTAGAATGACATGAAGACAAATGATGACAAGGAATACCTTGAATGTCAGTAAAAGTTCTTCATGTCTGCCAACATGGCCACACTGTCCACCAGAGAAAAACATTCTGGAAAAAAATAAGGGGAAAATATATTATTAAAGCTTACTATCGTAATCATGACACAGCAATACCCAAAAGGTCAGTTCTTCAACTAAGGCAACCTGAAATCCTGCTTCCTTTAAATTACTGTGGTTCCAGAGAATTGGCAACGCCGAGTGGGCATGGGCTACAAAAAGCAAAACCCATGTTTATTATGGGAAGACCACCCAGAGAGAAATTATATTAAAGTGATAAGCAAGGCAGTCCGAGTATGAATTTATGGAAAACATCAATATAGGCAAAATATCAAGAGAAGAAATAAAAACACAAAACACTGTATATATATATATAATTATTACCACTATATAAAGGCTAGTTAAGAACTATGCTAAGAATCAGAAGAGGTCACAAAATCTTACAAACAATCTATCCCTACTCATGTCATACTGTAAAAGGAGGGGTACACTGCATGTCCTCTTTATTACATATTAATTCATTGTCACTGCTTGTATTTTTAGTAGTCAGAAGGGGCAGTTAACATTTTTTTTTAAGCAAAGTTTATATCAAAACAATTCAAAAGCTTCATTTACCATTAATTTACTCATTCATTCAACAAATACTTATTCAGGGCCAGTATATACTAGATGAGATATGAGGGTTAGATAGGAGTTAACCAGATGATATAAATGTTGGGGAAGTGAGGCAGGGGCTGGAGGGAGTTTGGCAACAGAGAGAATTGCAAATACTAAGATTATGTCTGTTCCTCTCACAGTGGAAGAGTTGGCCGTGAAAGCCCCATGACAGCAGCAGAGGTTGGCATGGGATGTTGAGGGAGGAAGAAACCAGCCAGGAAATCACAACCCACCCATAGGCTCAGGCACAAGCAGGGGGCAAGTGACAGGTCACTGAGCAGCCCACCTCTATGTGGCCACAGGGGAAATGGCCAGGACAGACAAGGCTGTGTGTTCTCAGCTGGCAAAGCTCCTGGGCACAGGGCACCCATGAACCTAGCCATCACTGCAGCTTCTGCCAACCCAAGAGTGTGCATGCACACTGGGTGGTGAAGACTAAAGAGCATGAGTTCAAAGGTCCCGGCTCTGCCACACAGTGCCTGAATGACTTTGGACAAGTTATTTCCAATGGCCAAGACTCCCCCTCTAGCAAACTGTGCTAACAGCACAGCCTGATAGTGTTGCTATGCTGGGTAAACATGGCGGAGACTCTAGAGAATGCTAGCTGTACTTTTCACTCATTCACTCAACCAATACCTATTCTGCACCTGGTATGTGCAGGGTAAGGTAGTGCAGGGATTATGGGGATGCGGGCATGGAAAGGTGGGGATAAATCATGATTTCTCAGTCTCAAGGAAAAGCTGGCAATGTTTAAGGATTCTGTAATTTCATAGCCATCACCAGTACCTGGGGGAGTGATTCCTTCCTTGGATATGGCATGACAGTACCTTAGACGAGAAGGTGAATCCTTCTTCGAACAGGGCTTAGATTTCTTTGATCAATAAATTGTATTATATATTAATAATATACTTGTTAATAAATTGTGAAATGCCTCTGGTTTGTCCCTCCTCTTCAGTACTTTTATCTTTTCTCTGTTCATAATGGCATATTATCGACTCTCCCAAATGAGTCACTCAAACGAAAACGTTAACATAGCTGAGCAAACACATAGCAGTGTCTCTCTGGAGGGAAATTTAACTGTCTACTACAGCTACACACAACAATAATGATGAATCTCAGAAATATAATGTTAGACAAAGGCTCTAGACATAAAAGAATGCATATCGTACATAATTCCATTCATATGAGCAACAAGAGCAGGCAAAACTTATTGATGAAGAAGTCAGGAGAGTGATTGTCATTGGAAGGGGGAGAGGGTATAATAATTAGAAGTGAGCACAAGGGGGCACAGCTAACATGCTGTGTACTAGTTATATGGGTGTGCTCAGTTGCCGAAATTCACTGAATTTTAAACTTATGTCACAAAAAGTTTCATTTAAAAGTTTAAATATTAATTTTTAACTTCTGAACTCAGTTCCCCCTCCAAAAGTATTGTTCCTTTTTTTTTTTTAAATGAAAAGCTGTATTTAGTGAACGAAACCTCTACAAGAAAAGTCTCTTGTACACAAATGCCTTCAGCTCTACTCTATCTGGAATTTGTACAGCTGACCTAAAAGATTTACTGCATAAGCATTTAGTTTTTGTTCTGGAAAGAGGATCAGAGCAATTTATTTCTAGAAAGGAACTCAGAATTCACTAGCCTCAAACCTTATTCTACAGAGGAAGAAAGAGGTCTGATATGTTCTAGGGGATGGGTGTCTAGGGATCTGGCTGTTTGGTGGGACTCTGACTTTTTCTACCAGGCCACAATGCTGGCCTCCTGAGAATTTGTCTCCTTGGAAGTAAACTGTTTTAATCCATCAGATAAAATGAATGAACATAATTCAAAACGTTATTATGTAATTTCAAAATTTCTACAAACTCATTTTTGAGCTTTGCTAATTCCTAGGGCAGGAGTTAAGTGGTGTATGAGATATGGTCAAAGTTAAATTAGTCTTGGTTCACAGTGACTGGTTATTTACATGCTGTGACTTGGACCTCTGATCAAAATAAACTGTATCTTTTCACTGAAGGAGCTTGTACCCAAATGAGGGCAGGAAAGGCCAGAATGAAGGGTGATTGTAATCATCTTGAAAAGAGAATATGCATCAAGAAAAACGACCACAGACTGGACAACAGTGAAGAGACTGCTTCCAGTTGTCAAGCCTAGAATATGTTTCCTCAAGGCTGAATATATATTTCCTAACAGGAGAAGTTTTACAGTATTTGAAATAATGCAGCTCCTGTGACCTTCTACATAAACTACAGAATATCCCACTAAGTCATAAAGTCTCTAGGATCATTTATCAAAGATGGAAATCTATAGACTTTGAAACCCTTATTCATTATACATAAAAGCCATTTTTATCTATCTCAGCTGGGAATTTTCTTCGTCTTCTGGTGCAAGTTAGGTTATTTCAATGCTATCTAGGTCATCAACAAAGATAATATGAATAAGCCACTGGTTCTTAGAAAATTTTCAAGGTGCTAAGGATGGCTAGTGAGATAGCATCAGCTACAAAGAAAACTATTTGCTAGCATTTAAACAGTAAAATCTAGACCTTGACACTAGATAATCACTCACTAAAGATTATCCCAGATTCATCTTGGTCCAGGGCCCCCTTTTATGGTTGTGGACTCTGATGTAAATGGCAACCCCTAGGGTTGTACAGTGCGCAAGCTACACAACTTTATGCCATGGCCCTGCCTCTGCCACTGTAAGAAACTGTCCTAGCTCTCTTCAAGTTTCATTAAACAGTATCACTATCACATTTTAAAAAATGTTTATCATCAGTACAACCTTGAATGTCATTAAATGATAAACCTGTCTAGATATAGAATGATTAAAGGGTAAGATTAAAAAGGGGGTAAATAGCTTGGTATCACTATAGGGCATGTCTGGGTGAGGATTATTCTGTTACCTCTGGCTAACTGGCATAATTTGATTATAACTTGGCTGGTATTCATGTATGCAATGACCAGTATTTTTGACCTGAGTAACAAGAGCTGTGATTGCTGTCCCTTAGGCCTTCTTGAAAATGGTATACCTTTGAGAGATTTACGCTGAGTCATAAATGTGCCCCAACAAGACTAGCACAAGGGGAAATTGAAACGGGAGGTACTGAAACAGTTTTCAGTGCAGTTGAAGCAAGATTTAAAAGGCAAAAAAGTGACTGACAGATCATTCAACTGTCAAAGTCAGAGGATTTCAGCATTGATTTTTTTTTTTAGAGTCTGGTTATATATTTAACTACTTATAAAAAAGAATCAGGAAACTGTTAGTAAAAGCATAACTAAAGTTCAATTTGAACTCTACTAAAAGACCCTGACACCAAATACCTCAGAAAAAAAATCTCTTCAGTGTTCCAGGAATAGATTGGGTTAGGTTATTTAGATCAAACCTTCTACTGAAGACAATTAAAAATCATGAATAAAATGTTAAAAGCATTTAAAAAATATATCAAAGCACTGACAAAGTAGAAAGCATCACATGGCCAAAGGTGAAGCCAAAGCAGGAATTCAGAGAGGTACTGTAAGCAAAGCAGCTGCTTCCTAATGAGGCAAACATGAGCTCCAGATATGAAATACAAAAGAAAACTTCAAAAACATGGATTAAAGAAATACAAGGTTAACAGACATTGAAACAAAATTCAAAGAGGAGAGAATGAAAAGTCAATGTTTGAAATGATAATCACTGAAGGACCCCAACCTGGTGAAAAACACCTATCCACAGATTCAAGAAGCCCAAAGAATGTCTACAAAAATAAATAAGAAGAGATCTGCACCTAGACACAAAGTGGTAAAATTGAAGAAAACCAAAGACAAAGAGAAAATCTTGAAAGCAGACAGAAAAACAGACAATTAACCTTCAAAGGAGCATCTGTTAGACTGACAGCTATCTTCTCAGAAGCAACAATGAAAGCCAGAGGACAAACAAAAACTGTGATATTGTTCACTACCTGCAAATCCTCACTGAAATAAATCCTAAAAGATGTATTCAGACAAAAGATGTAAGATCTGAGATGCAATAAGGAATAAAGAACAAAGAAAGTGGTTAGTATGTGACCAGGCCCATTCCTAACACTTGTAATATACAGAACAAGAGTTTGAAAAGAGGTCCAGTTTGCCCTTATTCTTCTACTAAGGCTCCAGCTCAAACTACAAGAGGCTTTGTGCATATATATGGACATCCCTGCCTGCACAGCCAAACTCCCTTCTCTCCTGCAAGCAGCCATGCCTTGGTCATTCCTTAGGTCTAGAGGTATGTACACTGCAGCATGGATTGCCCTTGAGAAGAGGCCTGTTCAAATCCTGGAAATAGGCACAGAATATTTGGATAGGGAATTCCAGGTCTTTGGTTCCCAAAGCATGATCTAGAACAAGGATTGGTGGAGGAAAGAAGCAGGCTCCAGGTGGGCATATCTTTGTGTCACAAACTACTCACCATGCATGAGTATGACCAGGAAAGGGTCAGAGAGGAGACCTCTAAACCATGAGACACAGATCAGAGGCCCCAGTTGCTCAGAGTTAAGTTGACCCAGTTGATACTATATATTGCTAAATCCAAATGAACTTTGACTATATAAAAGATTAATAATATCTTGCAGAGATTAGTGAAACATGACAGAAAATATGGCAACTATATTATGTATACTCATATGATATATACTCTTTTAAGATAATATGTATCAATTAGGGGATGAAAAATGAAATTAAAAAGTCTTCCAAGGTCCTTGTATGGCTCTAGAGGAAGCTAAAGGTATTTATATTTAGACATTGAAAAGCTGAGTAGATGTTGTAATTTCTATAGTAGCTACCAAAATATAAAAATGGGGTATATAACTCCCTAACTAGTGGAGGGGGAAAAGCTGTTTTTAGACTATTCAGTCAGTCTGAAAGAAAGAATGAAGGGGGAGAAAAAAAAATAAAGGATGATTAGGAAAAACAGAAGATGGTAAACTTAAACACATATAGAAATCAATGATTCATTAAATAAAAATGGACTATGATTCAATTAAAAGGCAAAGGTTATCAGACTGAAAAAAATAATAAGATCCAATTACATGCTATTTATAAGGACACAAGTAGAACATCTGATACAGAAAGTTTGAAAATAAAAGGATGGAAAATATATTCAATGCCAATACTAATCAAAAGATGTTTATACTAATATCAGAAGACATACTTTAAAGCAAAAAGCATTACCTGTAAAATGGTTCATTCATAAAAGGATCAATTTAATAGGCAGACTGAACAAATTTACATGTGAATGCAACTAATAATGTAGCCTCAAAATACAAAGTAGTATTCTTGACAGAATACAATGAGAAACAGAACACATTCATGATCATATTGAGAGATATTCACACATCTCTATGATCAGTTGATAAAGTTCAAATAAGGAAGTCACTAAGGATATAGAATATTTGAATGATTCATTTAACCAACCTGACTTAGACCATATATGAACCCTCCATTCAACGACTACAGAGTACCTAACCTTCCCAAGCGCACATAGAATATTTATGAAAACCAATCAGGCCATAAAAGAAGTCTCAAGAACAATTTACAAAATTGGAAAAAAAGAAAGGATCATGTTCTCTGACCACAACACAATTGAACTGTAATAAAAAGTTAAATTGTTATTTAACAAGTAACATGACAATGTTATCTGACAATGGGTCAAAGAAGAAGTCATAACATACATTAGAAAATATTTAACTTGATCAACAATAAAGACACTATATATCAAAACATGTGGGCTAGAGCTAAAGATCTTTAGAGTGAAATTTCTATTTTAAATGTACATATTAGAAAAGGAGAAAGTCTTAAAATTAATGAGTTAATAAGCTCCTTCTCAAGAAGTTTGCAAAAGAACAGCAAAATAAAAAGAAAAGAAATAATAAAAATAAAAGCATAATATGATATAGATAGGAAAAAGTCATAAAATAAAGGTTATTAACAAAGCCAAGGTTGTTCTTTGGAAAGACAATTCTGGCAGAATTAAGAGGGGAGGAGTTGGAGAGGGAAGAAGGGGGAAGAAAAGAGAGAGAGCAAGTAATAAGTACATAACCAACAGAAAGAATTTAAACGGCAACATAACTGAAAATGCTACAAACATAAAAGGTAAAAGGATCTTAGGGACAGCTTTATTCAATAATTTTGAAAATCTGCAAGACTGAAATGGGCAAATCCCTAGGGGAAAAAAATGCAACTTACCAAGAAGGAATCAAGAAGAAATAATAAACCTGTATAGACATAACCATTTGGTCTCAAAAATTTTCCCACAAAGAAAACTCCTGGCCAGATGTTTTCACTGGTAATTCTATCAGATATTTAATAAATAAGAATTGCAATCTCGTAAAAACTCAAAGATTAGAGAAAAAAGAACACACATACCCTAATCCATTTTTACAAGTCTCGGATAATCCTGGTGCCAAAATCTGGTAAGTAAAGTCCTCACATTTTTACCCATTTCATAAATCAAATGAGACTATTTACAGAATTCTCTGGAATGCTCACAAAAATGTCTAGCAGCAATTTCAAACCTTGTACACTGGGGTAATTTGAATAAATATAGGACAAAAGGAACTATTCTCAACTTCAGCAACAAAATTTTTTGAAGATAAAATCACCAAGAACTAAAGCCAGCAATGCTGTAATAAGAGAAATGGCATCCCATATGCCAAAATAAACCATGTCCTAAAGATGACAGAAACTGGGTTAACTGGTAGGTACTGAATATGAACTCCAAAACAGCAGCTCTGTGTATCATTTGTCATAGCAATGGAGAACTATATGTCATGACTGCAATATGAAGCTTTCACATCTCTAGAAGCAAATGGAAGGAAAAGTATTTGGTCTTTACAGTACAAAATGATTTTGTTAATAAGCATAAGTGCTTTCTAATGCAGAAAAAAGCTTTATTCAATAAAACAACTGAGTCAGTATCAGATACACAAAATTAGAAATAAATCATGTACTTAAACAAATACCACAAAACCTTGTGAAAGGTGTTATAATTTTTACCTCCTTCACTTATCTCCAAATTTCTCCACCTGTAATCTCCCATCCTTATTTGATAGCCTGTGTGTGAATTAACCCCCAGCCTTCAGGCTTCTCCCCAACTGCTCATAGTAAATAGGTTCAACAAAGAAAAACAGAAGAGCATGCACAGCAGAGCCATCTGCCTGTCTTTGAATCCAAGCCTCACCACTTACAGTGTAACCTTGGCCTGTTCCTTAACCTCTGGACCTAAACCCTTCACCTGATATAATGGAGGTAATAATAGGATCTACCCCACAGAGTTCTGTAGGGATGAAATGAGATAATACAAAGAAGGTCTCAGTATGGACAAGAAATGTTAGCTATTATATCTAAGCATAAGCAGAAGACAAATTTATACTACACTCCAGTGCCAAATGTAAATAGGTTTTAGAATTGTTTCTCACATTTACTCATTTAGTTTACAAAGATTTATTGAGGTGCTATTACATGCAAGGTACTATACTAGGGACTCAAGATACTGCAATCAATAAGACCTATCTCTCCTGTCCTCAGGAGCTTATAGCCACTACTTAGATTCAGTGGTCACTGATGTGGCCAAATAGTGACTTTTTAACTCAAAAGATACTTTTTCTTCATGGCCCATGAGACTCAACTTGGCCTAAAAACAAAAACAAGGCACCAGAATACAATATCCTTTCCTATACAGACTTGGTCTCCATCTCACCCCAACCCTGCAGCATGTAACTCCACCCACAGCAGGCACTCAAAAAAAATTCCTTAATTGACTTGGTCTGGAATCTGTCACTGCACAATAATTCTATGAATATGTAGAGGAGAGAAATAGCTTTCAAAGCACTCTCAAAATAGTGATCTGACCGGGGCTGTGGGGGCAGGAATGCAGCAGATATACAGAGAAGTCAGGTACTAAGGAAAGCAAATCACCCACCAGCATTCTGTGTCCTTCCTTGCTTTTGTCATCATACCGTGCTGACTCCTGCTTCAAAGACGGAGTCTGGCGGTTTAACTAGGTGTGTGACCCTGCTCAGGTATTTTAACCTTGTTTAGACCAGTAACTTATTATCATTTATTATAATTATTATGTATATTACTTAACATCTACATTATAATAGGGTGATTATAATTTATATTGATTATAATAAATACTTGCATTGGTTACAAGATTTCTCTTATTTATACCAGTGAAGTCCCAGAAAACCACTATTTACAAGTCTTAAAGGAAACCAGAAGCGTAAGTCAGTAGTGGCTTCAGAATTTCTATGTAGAAGGGAGTTGGGAGCAGAAATCTGGTTGGGAGGAGCCTTTGGAAGTTTCATGCAAATAGCACTGTAGGTAAGAGATAGAACTCTTCACTGGTCCACTTCAAAACATGAGAAGAGCTGCTGGAGATAGAGAAGCCTATCCAAGGAGAATAAAAGGGAAAAATAGTAAAACAAAATTGCAATGAGTCCTATGTAAACGATCATTCTCCTTCCCCAGATTTTACTGCACCATGTAACTTCAAAATCTGTACTCACTACTGAAAGTTTTCCAAGAACTGGGTTACCAAGAAGAAATGGCTTAACAGTAGAATCCCCAAGGCCAAGAAAATGGCTGAAGAAAAGCTCCAACTGGGAGCAAGGAGTTCAAAACAAAACAAAACAAAACAAATGAACCAAAAAAGAATAGAGTACTTAAAGGGGATGGGGATGGTAAATGAAGGAGGGTAATTTGAAAGAAAAGTAAAAACCAAAACAACCAAATGTTCATTATTTCTACTTTATCACATAGAAATAGCCTCACTCACCTGACAGAAAGTTCAGAAGAAAAGATGGAGAAACTGCACAAATCTGAAAATGAAAAAAAAGAAAAGAAAATTAGAGCCATGGAAAGTTGGGCCTTCTTGGTACCATAATGCTTCAATACTACTACAGTCAGTCCATGGGGGCTGAGGCCCTACAGACTCCCTGCTATCTACCAAGACTTGAACTTGGCAGCAGAGTTACAAAAGAAATGGAGGAAGTAAACCCTTCTTTTAAGGAACATATAAACAGAAGACAAGCCAAAGCCAGTTTTTGAGCTGACCTAGTTAATGTTTTAGGAGCATGTGTTACTGCTCAGTCTCAGGCTTCATTAAACTGGACAATTAAGAGATCAAATCTGGGGAGGGGTGGTTCCTTTTAGGGACCATGCTTTGTTAGATATTTCCTCATGTTTTTGTGACTTACTGTCCCTAGAGTCTAAACTCCTTGGTATCAAGGATTGGGTCATTTATGTCTCTGTGCCCCCAAAGCCAAAGGCAGAATTCTTTCTCCACAGAGGGACTAAGTAAGTAACTCTGTATGGATTGTTAAGTTTAGCTCAAAGGTGAAGGGGAGAGATGGGGGCATTGGCAATGTCATGAGTGATAGACAAGGCACATGCGTGCTGGGGAAAGGAAATAATGTGCCCTCCCAAAGCAGAGCATTGTTGACAAGGTGACTTGTAGTTTCAGAATATTCCATGGTGCTTTACTTGTAAACCAAAACATTGGTACAGCTGTTAGTCACTTCACGCAGTGGTATCCCCTCACGTAAAATGTGGACATGATGATTTTCTAATCAAGATTTGCAGGAGGAAACAATCTATAGGATGATCTTGAAATCAACCGACCTACTCCTGCCTCAGTCAGCAGACTGTTAAATTAGAAATCCAATGCTCAAAGAGGAATCCAGAATAGGAATTCAAAGAAGAAATAAGGAGTCATGGTGAGTTTCTATTGATCACAATATGTTCTTTAAGAGGGAAAAAAAGGGTAGTCCTTAATAAATTAAGCCCAATATGTCAGAAAAACTTCATTAAGCAATGTTTAAAGAAGAAAAAAAATGAAGGCCAAGCATATTGTCCTGTCCTAGGATGAACAAATTACAAACACATTTCCCAATCTCAACGTGGAATAAATGTAGGATTAACAACTGAAAAACATTCAAATAAACAAAGAAAATCAATTGTGACTTGAGTATGGAAATAATTTCACTTTGCATTTGTGCAAATGAGGATTTTCTACCTGAGGATTTCTGATGAAATTTCACAATTCAAGCACATTGCCTCTTCCAAAACCTTATTGATAACCACAATAAAGTATGCTTAATGGTTCCTGGTAACCAAGTTTATTAAGTCATATGAGGCTCTTTTTGCCCCATTTGGAACACTCTCAGGTAAATAAGAGGGCAATCAAAAATGAAATTTGTTTTGCCTGCTGGATTAAAAAACTTAAAAGCCTAATAACATCTGAAGCTGGAGAGCATGTGGGTAAATGAACACTTGCATATAGTGTTGGTGGAAATATAAACTTAGAGAATAGCTTAGCTATATTTTGAAATGTTAAATGTGCATACTTTTTGATCCAGAAATTCTAATTCCAGAGACTGTCCCTTCAGAAATATTGACAGACAGACATACACAAACAAACACTATCACTGCAGCTTTGTGCAAGGGGGGGTGAAAGCCTAAGTATCCATCAGTAGATGAACAGTCAAATAAATGATGGTCCAACCATATTGTTTAATATTATGTAATGCTTAAAAAAAATGAAGTTGATCCATATGTATTGACATATAAAGATCTTCAATATATATGTCAAGTGAAAAAACCAAGTTTGTTAATAATATATATACTAGAATATGTTAAGAAACAAGCAAAGCTATATATATGTATGGTATTTTATATAGTGACAAGCTGAATGCATATGAAAAAGCCTGAAAGGAAACCCACCAAGCCTCCACAGATAAGAGTGTGATGGAAAGGATGAAGGCCACTAGAACCCATACACATATTCATATATTACTTAGACAATTAAATATATTCTTCTAGCAACAAGCAAAACAGAGGGCCAAGCCATCCAGGTTCTCCAAACTGAGCTCCTAAATCAAGCTCAGAGGCTAACTAGGAGGTAATGCCATCACTCACTCAGCTGGACACCATCTCCTCTGGCCCTGCTCTAATCCAATTAGAAAGGCCCCACTGCGAGCACAAAGACTTCTGGTCTCAGAGCCAAGAAACCCGATTCCCAGCTGGGAGCAGGAACTCACTTGAGCAAGCTGTGGAAAAGAATGTCAAAAGCAATGATGTGAAAATGGCTGATGGCCACAGAGGCCTAAACTTAATTAAAGAACTGCATCCTTCAGCTTCTAGACCCATCCTTGCCACTATCACCACCACACACCCACCATCCTTCATCGCCTATAGAAACTAAACAGGAGTCAGAATCCAATGAGCACCAACACTCCAGTAACAAAACATAATGACCTCCAAAGCTTGGGCTTTTACATCATTGAAAGGGAAGGGCAAGTCACAAAAGGAACCATGTAGACTTGTGTAAGACAAGGCTTGGAACAGAGAAACTTCTCAGAGAAGAACAGCAAATTCAGCAACTGCTAGGATTAACTGAAACCTCCCACAGTTGCAGACTGCCCCAACCCATGACATCAGGGAGGCTGGCAAGGCATCTAACTTCCTCTATTTATCAAGCTGGCTAAAACCCAGGGTAATACCAGAGTGACCCGGAAAACAAAAGGGCAAGTGGACCGTACAAGTGGTTTGGGTAGAAAGGAACGATCTCTATGTATTTAGAGCCCTGCTCCAGTGCCGAGAAAGCTCTCGGAGAGGCTGTATCCAAGAATCAGAACTCGTGTGCTCCAAGGCTGCTCAGAAGCCTCAGGGGCCAGCCACAGGGCCCACACAGGCTGGGGACAGTCGGTGAAACAACAGGCTAAGTGCAGCACAGCCCCAGGCAGCTGTTCCACTGCCCTCTGGAGTAACATGATGCTGGTCTAAGGATCAACAATAACAATAAACCCAGTGACATGCAGCATTCTGGAAGGCTAAGCATTTCATTTTGAACCTAATGATTAATTAGTGGCCCAGACTGAGGGGCAGACAGTGGCTCACAGTTCCTGACAATGATACTAACACCATGGAAGAAAGGACCAGAAGACAAAGAGGCCTTGCTAAATTGGGAACAAAGGCAGAAATAAGCAGAGAGAAGATTCTCCACACTTGTAGGAAAACTACCATGGACAGAGATGATGTCTAAAAGGTGGTTCAAACCACAGCCCAAGGGACTTAGACAGGAGGAAGAGTGGCCTGGTATCAATCACTGTTATATTATAGAAGTGACTAAGAGAGCTTTTGGGATTGCTTTCTGAAACATCTTAAAAGATGTCCTCTTAGTCACTCTGCTGAGCCTGTGTACAGAGGTAGAATGAGCCAAGCCAGGAAAAGTAGCTGGTGGACCTCATGCAACTGTTGGTCCCATGCTATTTTTTTGCAGCACTGGAAGCTCTCTTCTCTCACCTGCCCATTCTCCTGTCTTCTCTTCCTCACTTCCCTCCTTCCACTCTCTTATCCTACAGTTTCCCTCTTTTCCTTCCCTCCCCTTACTAGCTTGAGGCTTGCCAAATGTATTCCAGGAGCTCAAATGTTGCTGGTTACCTCTGCCCAGAGCAGAAGAGGAATTAAGGCCACAGGGTGAGAGACACACCTTTAAACACCTCCCTGCTCACCAGCCCCAGCCCTCTGTGTGAGGCAACCACAGCCCTTCACCTGGCATGGATGAACTAAAGGTGTTTTCAAACAGTGCCAGACTTGCTTTAGGGTGTAAACAGTTACCACCTTAAAAGTAACCACATAAGCAAGGCTATACCTATTTCTTTCTCAGAGCAGTAACTTACTATTTCACAAAAAGTACACTTATATACTTAATTTTTTTAATGCAAGTCTTACGTTAAGCTGTATTCATACAAAATTAACTAAAGGTGAATTTTCTTCTATTGGTATGAAAACACTTCACCAGGAAAACAGAATTCAGGAAACTACCATAACCATAAATCAATCCCAAATGCCATACCTGGTATTTTCTAATTAACACTTAACTTCTCTTTCTACTGGGAAGCAACAAATGCTGGGCATAGTTCCCTCTGTTTAAACTATTTCGATACTGTATTTTCAATAATGAAATAAAATACAACTAGAATGACACACAGATAAGGAAAAAACAAACGGATGGGTCCCACCAAGTAACTAAGAAAACCACCGTGTCATTTTCCCTTTGTTTGTTAAGTTTTTGTTGTGTATGTGATACCTGGGCTAGAAAGTAAGGCTGGTGCATTAAAAGTCTTCTGTTTCCAAACAGATTTGCCACTTGAGATGTACTAAACACTTAGCTGCTCCTTAGTCCAATTCCAGGGAGTAAAAGACAAGGAAACTTTTGCCCACAAAATTATCATTGTTCTCACTGGAAATGAGTAAGAAGTTACGTTATTATCCAGCTCTATTTGACAGATAAACTGTGGAAGATAGGAACTTGGTGAGTTATTTTTTAATTCAATGTGAGAGCCTTAAACTCAACTTCTACATCGCCCTCTCTCCATTGACCGTGCCACCGAAACAAATTTCTAGCCCTTCCCTTCTGTGGTACATTGTAAAACTGACCATAAATTCTCCCTATTCCTATGCGTATCCATTTGCAATCTGACCCTGCAGTTCCCCCTATGAAAAGGTGGACACTATTTCTCCAGCCTTTGAATGTGGGTCAGCCTTACCACTTCCTTTGCCCAATGGTACATTAGCAACTGTGATGTAGCCACAAGCTTGGAAAGTGCTTGAGCATGGTAGTTTGCTCTCTCCTGCTTCTCTCAGAGCCTCAAGCCACCACATAGGCACACAAACAAGCCTGAGCTAGCCTGCTAGATGGTGCAGGGTGTGTGCCCAGTCACTACCACTGTGCCAAGCCCCAGGGACAGTCACCTAGCTGACAGGCAGCTGATTGCAGCTGCAAGAGTGAGCCCAACAGACCAGCAGGACCATCCAGCTAGCTGAGTCTAGCC